ACATAAACGTGATGGATTCGCACACCTGTTAATAAGATCCCAACTGAAATTACTAAGATAATGCCGAGCAGCTTAACACTTGGAGACTCCAATCTTCAAGAAAACAATTATTGAGTCAAAAATTAACCTAATGAACCAAAGATGAAAAACAGAAGCAGGGTTTGGGGCGCAGAGCAAAGCTGGTCATTAAGATCTTTTACTACCTTTACAGAAACAAAATAAGTACAATCTAGCCTTACCCCTTGCTTGTCCAATAGAAAAATTACAGTGTTAGTTTCTTCACATGTATCACAAACTACAAGATTTCAGAGATTCCAATGAAAATTAGTATCCTCTTGCCAAATTAGAGGCTACGTATAAAACACAAAAGCCTTAACTAATCAAATATTCATGTTAGTTTGAGTTTGAACTCAACTACATATATACTTAACCTATAATTTATTTTCTATGCAGAGTAGGAAGGAACTTACTGTTCAACTCTGCTACGAAAAATGTATAGGTGATTTTGTTAACAATATTGATCATATAAAATGGGAAATACTCCAATCAGGATATTCTTTCACTCTGACAGTGACTAGTCAAGAAAAGAAAGAACTACTAGTGCTTATTACTTTCAAAAATCGTGTTTACTGTTGTTTTCCCGTGTTACAACTTCCATTCAAATTCAGTCGATCCGGAATGGATTCGGTTATATATTTCATTAGGGACCCTGGTTTTTACTTATATTCATTCTTGTTCAGCTATTGGATTAGCATCCAGCAGTGGTTGGAAGTTGGAACAGCTCACAAATCCAACCACTTCACCTGCTTCATCGCTCCCAACCCTTTCTCATATTCCTCTACCTTCATATCTTTGTTTCTTAATGGATTTGGTCGGAATTTTTCAATGGAGCTCATAACAAGGACCACGAAATTTCAAATTTAACTAAACAATATAATCATTGTTGTATTTGTACTAAAAATAATGAACAATATGAAACCATGATAGCATTGCACAAAAACGGGCTGATAACATGAGTTCATCACCCGTAATTAGAAGTTAACACATGTCTGACAAGCACAGTTCAAGGAGAAATACCTGAAGGCAAAGGCAAAAAGAAGGAGAAATATTGGGGACGCCGATTTACACTGCAAATGTAAAGGAAGTCAATTAACAGAAGATACTTGTGTGATTATTACTATAGTGGGCTGACTAAGAGTAAATTTGGAAGTCAACTCTGAGGCAAATATAAACCGAGATTTTCTTTCTTCAAGCGATCGTGCAAGACTATCAGCCAAAGGAAATACTCAAATACCATAGACAAAATTCCAAAGCAAATTTCTTAAAAAAATTGAAACATGCATATATATCCAACTTCATAGAAGAAGAAAGACAAACCATGGTGGCAAATGTGACGGAGATGAAAACCAGGGATGCATTGCTTAGATTTACATCCATTGCTGTGCTGAGAGCCGTAGGTACAACTGTGACAGGCAAAGGCCATCTGTAGCATTAGTTGTCAGAGAAGTTAATGATACAAGCAACTTTAAAGTAACAAAGGAAAATATAAAATGATACTGCTTTCATGAATAATTCATCAGTTCATGCGAAAAATACAAGTCATAAAAGATCGGTGCCAGACACAATTTAATCGAGAAATATCTCAGTTTAATTTATGCATTTAGCTCGGCCGTCTCAGAGGCATATACATCACCTAGGGAAAAATATTGAGCCTAGTGTTCTGTTACACTGGAACAAAGAGTCAATGATAATTCAGAGATCAAACGAAGAGCTTCATCAAATTGTTATTCAGTTCGCAAGTAACCAAATTTCAGCATAATTAACTTAAATCAAATACTGATGCCAAGTTTCTTTATTCAATTTGAGCTCCATGCTTTCATCAGTTGTAAAAAGTAAACTTCCACCAATTGTCAAACTCCATTTTGATCATCCATGGAGTTTTAGGCCTCCATATTCAATGAAAACTTCTCTGATCTAAGCCAAGACGAATCTCACTTATGCAAAAGAAACACAACTTCTAGAAACAAACGATGCTTAAGTATGCTAGAAACCAGCAAACAGCTGCTCGCAAGAACATTTCGTTGATGCCTCTAAATGCAGTGTGATGTACTCACCTACTTGCATTAATCTCCATTACTAATACATAGGTTGCTTGTTTCGCTTCTCATATCTTCCTTATGGACTTATTAAATATATCAATTCTATGTATGTAGAAACAAAGAAAGAAATAGAACCACACATGCATAACTCGAACGATTTTCTAAATTAAAAGAATTTATTGAGTCNAAAAAAAAAAAAAAAAACTGGTATCATTACTTCTTTTTCTCCCATAAGGATACGTCAAGTAGCTCAAACCTCTTTCCATACACAAAATGAAACATATAAGAGTGTATTAAATAATCTTGCAATATATCAGAATGAACAGCATAGAGAAAACTAAACCACTACAGCTAGGGCAACCAATATTTAAGATTGTTATTACGCATGAGATGAGTTATGTGAAGGAAGCATACAAGTGATTAACTATTCACAGGATACACGAGTCGTAGACATGCAAGTAGTTGATTGACAATGAATGCACACCAAAATTTGTCCTACCTCTAACAAAGTAATCCTTCCATGACATAACAGAGGGATGGAATCTGTCAGACCAAAACCATGTAATGGCCTTGGACAACACAGCTTGCATGGTAAAGTGGACAGTATTCATCAATAGTGGGGCAGGAAATTTCCCCATTTTATCCCCTAACAAAGTTTTATTGTACCTGCTCAGAAAGTAATTAAAAAAGAAAAAGAAAAGAACAGAAAAAAGGGAAAACAAAAACAAATATAAAAGGAGTAAACAAATAGTACAAGTCAGGCCATCTCAAGAAACAACAGTAATGCAGTATCGGCAGTACAAAAGACAGAACTTACAGTGTAAGGAATGTACTGAAAGTATACCAAACCAGTATAAAAAATAGAGTCTTCAGCAAATCCGCAACAGAAATAACGTTTTTTGCAGTTTTCCTAAATGTGGGAATGGTGTGGTCATTTTCGATATCCAAAGGCACATAACTCTTGTTTTGATTTCTCAAACCGTTAGTGGAAGTAATGTCAGTATCTACCATATGCTCCATCTTCTGGTGTAAATTGCTAGAACAAAATTTCTCTCCTAAAATTTCATGGTTTGGCCCATTAGCATGAACCAGTGGCAACTCAAAATTAAAGACTTTTTCATTCACTGTGTCACTTTTTGAATGAATTTGTCAAGTATTCAGTTCCAGTTTCCTCAACACTTGATGATTCCCTTCACATAATTGTTTCCAAGCCATTGAAGCCTTAGCCAATATTTTCATTTTCCCATATGATTCTGCAAAAATAAGCAGGAAAAGGTTGATCTTTGCAAACGAAAGTAAGCGTGTATATGACGACAGTACTAATAACTAATGGTCTTAATAAACCACCATTCTAAACTCACCAAATCCGAAGAGAAACAAATAAACTTGGTCCGGACCAGAGGAATAACTATTGTTCCAGATAACAATTGTGCTGCCCCCTGAAATAACGACCAAGAAAACGGGCAAAACAACTCAGATCGTCTCCCTAATAAATCAAAGGAATAACTCAGACAAATTTTACACTGATCGTTCGAAGCGTATGTTGGTATACGAAGAAAAAGACGTCGACATTTTTTGCAGTTGAATAAGAATAAAATATACATCCAGCAAGGAAAAGCAAATTATAGACCAAAAGCCCGAAAGTAAATTTGGATCAAGTATAGTGATATTAAGATTGGCAAGCATACAGATACATGAATAACAGTTTCAGAAAGAAGAGATCAGAACTGAGCCGAGCGCTTATTCAATCTTGTGGATCTTCTCAATTTCAAATGATCTAAGTCACGAAAGCCTATTAGATATGTATCTAATTTTTTTTTTTTTATTTGGTAAAGGGTTTTACTCAGGCTTGTAGGTGAATTGCTGTCGGCAGTTAAAACTGTTGCTAATAGTTTTCTCGGTGCATTTGTTTTTTTTTTTTCTTTTTTCTTTTTTTTTTTCTAAACAATAGATTTTATCACTCCAAACAATATACAAATAGGAAGGCTAAAGGAGCATTTTTTTTTATTCTAAAATAATAGATTTTATAACTCTAAATAATATAAAAATACGAAGGCTAACTAGCCTTACAAACAACCGACCGGTTGAAGGAGAGGAACTGAAAAGTGCTCTAAACAACTAGAATGTACTAGACTTAAGAAAGAATTCTTGCCCTGGCAAATGACCAAGCATTGGAACCTGGGTAAGAATCTCTTCTTGCACCAACAAAAGCAAAAGAAATTAAGCCACTGGTCAAGGACCCTAGCCTAATTCCACAAAAGTCTACAAACAATGAAACTAAACAACAAGGCTGTACAGAACACACAACAAGAAAGGTAAAACCGCCAAACCAACTACTCTACCCACAACAAAGCAGCTCAACACTCTCGGAACAAGATAAAACCATACTAAACTCTGTCAAACTCCAGCCACTCTTCCAAAGCCACATTAACCACTGCAATCTCTGTCCTCCAAGTTCCTTAGAATACCCACATGTTTCTAGCTTTCCACATCCACCATAGCAAATATGTAGTAAACTGCAATCTTGCTTCAAAAGTAGCATAAGATGTGATAGAGGAGACCTTATGCCACCACTGCTTGATGTTGTCAGAGAGGTGTTCAATGCCATACGAAGTCGGAGGAGCTAGCTCTCAGGTCCTTCAAGCTTTGGGGCAAGTAAAGATTAGGTGTTCTGTTGATTTATGGGTTTCTCCACAAGCTTTGCAAAGAGTATCCATATTCACTCCTTTATTTGATAATTGGTACTGACTAGAAGGGCATTTTTCAAACATTTCCAGATGAAGTGTTTGATTTTCCTTTTAAACTTCAACTTCCAAAGTCTTTTCCTTGCTTCTCTTGATTCTGTTTGCCCTTTGTTTGATTTTGTTACATCCAGCAGCTTCCATTTCTCACAGATAAAGTGATCATAAGAAGCTGCAACTGAGTGTTTTCCATTCTTCCCACAATTCCAAACTAATCGGTCTTCGTCCTCTTGTTTTAGACTCCTAATCTTCAAACTGGCTTCTTGCTCCTGCTCTCTGAAGATACTCTGAATAAGATCCTTGTTCCAGTGTCTATCTGTATCATCTATCAGATCCCTCACCTAAGTGATATCAATGTTGGATCCCCTATTGGCCTTGGGAATGAATCCAGACACATCAGGGATCCAGAGGTGTTCAAAGATTTTGACAGAGTTTCCATCCTTCAGCTCATATCTAATGCTTTTGTGGAAGGTATATCTTACCTTGAGCTAGTTATGCCATAACCAAAACCATGTTTGCTTATGCTTGATTAGAAAAAGTTGTCCCTTGGAAAGTATATAGCTTTTAAGCATCTACTGTCTAGAAGGTTTGGTTGAATTAGAATCCTTCAGAGTTTCTTGGTGATCAGAGCCTTGTTCATAGATGGATGTCAAGAAAGGCAATATCTCCCTTATTTGTAAGCAGAGTCAACAGCCTCCAAGCTTTCCAATGTAGTCCTTTGCTTTCAGAGTTCCTTAGTTCCCCAAAAAGTAGAAAACATATTTGCAATTTTTGAACAAACTGCTTTTGGGATTAAAAAAACTAGACATTGCATAAACAGATAGATCATTAAGGACTGCCTTCAAAAGCACATCTTTTCCTGCAGCAGATAATAACCTATTTTTCCAGCTTACAATTCTTTTTTCAACTACCTGAACAATAAAAGAAAAAGTCTCAATTCTGTTATGTCTAATAACCAGAGGTAGCCCAAGATATCTAGAATATTTTTGAGGGGTTATGCCTAGGAGAATATGACAAATAGAGTTTTGCACAGAGACATAAGTATTTCTACTGAAAAAAGATGGAGGATTTGCTAAGGTTAACTTTCTGGCCTATTATTTTTTGGTGGTTTGAGAGGATGAAGATTAGGGAACTGGCTTGGTTTGGTTCATCTTTGGCACAGAGCAGAGTATCATCTGCAAAGAACAAATGAGAGAGACTTGGTCTAGACTTTGACGGTTTAATTCTTTTAAGATTTTATTTTTAGGTTTCTTGCTTTATAACATGGGTAAGGATTTCTGAAATCAGAATGAAAACATAGCGGGACAAGGGGTCCCCCTGCCTAATCCCATTAGAAGGTGCAACAAACCCACAAGATTCTTCATTTATATTAAAAGAAAAAGTCGTAAAAGAGATGAAAGATAAAATCCAGTTCACAAAAGAGGATTTATGACCCAACTTAATCATGATTTTAACTCACACTCTTCCATTCCACTCTGTCAAAAGGGGTCTCCATATCAAGTTTTCGATCCATATATTAATTAATGCCACTTCTGTTCCTATTTAGGTAGTGAATGACTTCATGACTAAGGATCACATTGTCCATTATTTGCCTATTTGGGACAAAAGCAGTCTGGTTATCACATATACATGTAGTGAGACAAGGTTTCAGTCCTTCTGCTAGCAACTTAGAGATAATTTTATAGGTGAGACAAACTGATTGGTCTAAAATGGGAGACTTTCTCAGGGTTTTGAATCTTGGGGATAGAGGTAACAAGAGTGTTGTTAATACTTTTGAGAAGCCTACCGAACTAAAAAAAAAAAAGCTCTTTACAACTTCACATAATTTAGAATGGATGAGGTACCAGAAATTTTGAAAGAAAAGAGAGGTCATACCATTTTTGCCTGGTGCTTTGTTTGGATTGATACTGAACAAGGCTTCCTTGATTTCCTCATCTTTTATAGAGGCCACAAGTTCAGAGTTCATTTCACTTGTTATGACAGGAGTTATGTCTTGGAGCAATCTTTCATCCTCTTAAGAACCCTCAGTGGAGAACAACTTTTCATAGAATTCCTTAATGCATTTAGCCACTTGGTCATTACCTTCACAAGTAGTGGAGTCATCTCTGGTAAGCTTAGATATTTTGTTCCTCATTCTTCTTTGAATTGTTTGAGCATGAAAAAACTTGGAGTTTTTGTCTCCATGTTTTAACCAGTTGACCCTTGTTTTCTATTCCTAGAACTGTTCCTCATACTTGTAAGTTGCATTCAACTCCTTCACCCCACTGATTCTAGTCAATTGGGCTCTCACTTTTCCTCGTCACAGCTAAATCGTTGTAAAGGCTTTTAATTTTACTGGCATTTGTTGTTTTTAAGTAACTGCTCCATTTCAAATTTTCCGCTCTTGTTTCCTTTATCCTTGCCTGGAATTTGTGCATTGGAGTACCAAATTAGTACTTTGTCCACCTTTTTTCAACTGTTTCCTTGATACTTGGTTGAGATAACCATCTTCTATATAAAAAAAAAAAAAAAAAAAAATCTTTTCTTTATGTGGACATGCCTTTGGGTACAATCCAACAAGAAAAGGTTGTGATTAGAAGAACTCTTAATAATATTATGAACTGAAGCATTAGGGTTGGGAGGTCCAACTCAATGAAACAATCAACCTGTCTAACTTGTCTTCAACATACCCATCGGCCTCTCTATTGTTCCCCTAAGTGAAGGGATGTCCCACCATCTTGAGTTCTAACATTCTCATATTGCTGACAAACTCCTTTAGAGGGTTTAAAGAAGATAGTGATCTAATCCTTCCTCCTATTTTTCCTCTTAGCTTATAGGGTCATTTAGGTCTCTACCAAGGAACCAGTTATTACCCCAATCCTTCTTTGCCTCTATCAATTGGAACAATTGTTCCTATTTGAGTTGGTTGTTTGTGCTAGCATAGATGAATATTCCCCAACAGTTAATTGCTTTGTCTGCATCCTAGAACTCAACTTCTAGACAAAATGAGTGCTTTAGGATTCTGTGCACTTGAGTGTCACTATTCCAGCATAAAACGAGCCCTCCACCTCTACCAATCGGTTCTACTGAAACCCAACAGTCCCCTACTTCTAAGTTTTTACAAACAGTCTGCATGGATCTGTTTTTTATTTTATTTTATTTTATTGTCTCAGAGAGAAAAAGAAAATTTGGGTGATGGAGCCTCCAAACCTCCTTAATTTGAGAAACTGTAGAGGGGCCATCCACACCTCCACAGTTCAACTACCTTCATTGGTCACCTTGTGGCTCTTGAAGGCTGGCCATATTCACCTTAGAGTGGATAGTTTTGAGCTTTTTGTTCCCTGCTTCAGGCTGAATCTGAGGGTTACTTGCAAAATTATCCTCACTATCAACACTGTAGATGATCTTTTTTTTCCACTTGTTGATCTAGCTGGGTTAGTGATGTCCCCTAGTCTTGTCGCTGAAGTCAGTTTCCTTTTCCAACTTCTCCCTTTCCCATTTGGTTGAAGGACCTAAAGTGTGCTTGTTTCTTCTGATTGAGGACTCTGAATAAGGATTGAGGTGAGATTTATATTGGTGGGCTTGATGGATTCTCTGTCACTGTCTCTATTGTGGGTTAAGATAAAGGTTGGGTGAATATTAGGGTTCAAGGTTGTTGGGTGAGAGAATTGTCCCTCTCCATAAATTGATTTGGAGGAGTAATTCTAAAAGGAATTTGTGGTTGGAAGTTATTTTTAACAGAAGAGGAAGGTGTTCGGGAGGAAGAGTTTGAATGAGGTTTGACTGTATGGGAGTTATTTAAGGGTTCGTCAGTTGATTGTTTATGGCTAGTGTCGCTGGTGTTTGGTTTGTTAACAGTGGTGGCATTCTGGCTAGAAGAGGAGGAGGAGTATCATGATTCATTAGCTTTCAGCCACAATGTGGTTCGAGGAGTTCCAAAACGTAGGTGTTGTATTCTGTTAGTGATACTGAGATATGGCATCAATGTCTTGGTCATATAGGATATTCTCATCTTATAAATTTTTCAAATGCAAGTGTGGTTCGATGAGTTTCAAAACTCACAATGAAGGAACACTTTTTGTGGACCATGCAAGATGGGAAAACAAACT